TGTGGCTTCCTGACCTGTACAGAAGTTTCTCATGAGGACAATGAGATGTTCTGGGATTCCCATTTTTCTGAGTGTATTCCACACCTTGATGTGACTGACACAACTGAAGGCCTTTCTACAATCGATGAAGCACATGCTAACTTCTTTTTGATATTCTTCGGCTTTCTCAATTCTCCAGCATGCATCAGCAATAATGAAGTTAGATTAGTATTTCTTCAATTCTGCACCAACCATAGGCAAGGTGTTTTCTAGAATCTAAAAAGAAAGTTTTCTCTCCCAAAGACACAGGGAGAAACAACATGGGAGTAGAGGAAAATGGAAGCAGGATTTAAGAGGAGGGGAGAAGTAAAGCCATGTGTTTATAAATGTTCATTGGACGTGTACAGTTTCAACAAGTTGAAGCTGTGGCCAGACATTTGGTAAAACAAAGAATTCCAGAATTTCCATTTCTCCTCAGGATCATAATGATGTGGCTGTTCCAGAGTTTGTCTGACAATTTTCCAAAAGTCGGTCCTCCAAATGGGAAGCAGGTGGTGCTGTTCCAAACATAGGCCACCCCCCAAATAGGGCTTCTTTGTCAGAATACCATCTCTGGACTATCACAAACGCTTTTCAGGTTCAAGAGTTACTTTCGAGAAAACTATTGGACTGGCCATGGAACGGCCAGCGTAACGTGATCCAGAGGAGGAATGAACATTCCAGAGTTTTCCAGAACATTCCATTTCTGGAAGGGTCAATTTTGCACGTGCCTCTTTTGTTGACCCCCTTCCAACTCTGTGTCTCATTTGGCAGCCGATCGGTTGTGCAGATGGTTCTCAATACCCATTCTCTCCCCTTTCAGCCCTTGCCTCACTCCCAGTGTGTGGAGGCTTGTCAGCCCGGATACTTCAAGGTGGTCCAGGAGAGAAAACCACGTTGCTGCTATGACTGCATCCCCTGTGCAGAAGGGAGCATTTCCACTCGAGAAGGTGGGTGAGAAGAGTCAAGGCAGTCCTTGGGAAGGCGAGGAAGTGAGACAGCATTCACCATTCTATCTTTCACCAAACAGATGATAGCAAACTGAAGGTGCTGAAACTCCAGAAGTTCTTAGAGGAAATTCTCTCTGAATTTAATCATAATTTGAGATAGAGATCGCCTTGGACACACTCATGGATAATCTATACTGTGTGAGAGACAGGGGAAATATAATGTGACCCTTGTGGTAATCTTGGATCTCTTGATAGCTTTTGATCATATGAGTCAGGTTATCTTGTTGGAGCCCTTGACGTTCTGGGGGTGAAAATATTGCTCCTGTCTTTTTCAGTACTCTTAAAACATGGCTTGAGGATAACTCTGCTCAACTCCTTGACAGTGATCTTATGGGGGTGGGCTCCACAAAGTTCCACCTCGTCTCCCATATTATTTAACATGATAGAGTCATTATATGTCTTTCTCTAACCACACAACTGGATGTCGAGAGTCCAAAGGTATTCTTGGCATGACAAGACGAGATGTGGGAGAACTAGCTGAAGGGGAATTGGTACAAGGCCGCGTTCCTGACAATATTGGAGGAGAAACCTGCACAGTCCTTTGAGGAAGGTTTCATTAGAGCAAAAGCTCAGGTGAAGCATCTTTCAAAGCTACTTCAAAAAGCAACCTGCCTGCACCCAGTAACAGCAACCGCTCTGGGTAAGGAAGCACTTACTTCCCGTCTCCTGTCTTAGCAGGCACTTCCAAAACATAGAAGAAGCTTCTATGCGTATGCAGAAGCCTGGTAGCTGGCCAGAAGCTTCTTTCAGCTTTGTGAAATGCCAGTGAAGGGATCTGAAGGGCTTTCTTGCATTCAGTCGCTTCACCAGGGCAAGAGCAGCATGTTGCTTCTGAAGCATGAAGTTCTTCATTGAGCTGAATGAAGCTTCTCACATAGGATCTAGTCTATTGTCTCAGGATCCTCCCAGTTTCAAATCTGGACACTCTCTCCACGGTATCCAAGCAGTAAGCAAGTAGAATTGTTTTTTAGCTTCAAGACCAGTCATGTGGTTTCAACTATAAATTCTGTATTTTCTGGGGCAAGGTCCAGTCTGTAGAATAAACTGCTACTGCAGAAGAACCTCTCTTTACTTTGGTTATTACAGAGGAAGTCAAAATAAATGTGTTTTGGCCTTTTCTTTTTTCTTTCCTTTTTGAATCAATAACCATTGGGGTTTGGTGGGATAGACAATATACTGACTAAATGAATCCATAAATAGTTGAGCAGTATTGTTACTGCATTGCTATTCTCAAACTAGTGAGCCGTGAGTCAAATTAAAATGAGTTTTGGGGAAACAGAAAAGCACAACCTTGTCAGATTGACGAGTCCTAGTCCACAGGAGACCTTCCCAAATGACATAGAGTAGATGGTTGTCCTTCTCACCTTTTGCTCCCAACAGTCCTCCAGAGATAGAAAAAGGCAGGAGAGAAACCAAGACCTTTTGGCAAACAAAGCATGTCTCCCCTCAAACTCTGCCCCTTCTTCACCCAGCTACGTTTTCTCCCTTTATCAACTTCGGCTACTTACTCGTGCAGACGAGCACACACACACACATGTACACTCATAACTCTTTTTCTCCTCCCCCACCACCATCCCCACAGACACACAGAGTGTTAGCTTTGGGTTTTCTGAGTTCAAAATATAACTCCCATCCTATAAACTATAACTCCCAGTCTATACATTTATGGAAGATGCTACACTTATCTTTGCAGATGCAGACCACTGCACCAGATGTCCACCAGATCAGCATCGGAACAAGAACCGAGATCAATGTATCCCCAAAATTGTCACCTTCTTGTCCTATCAAGAGAATTTGGGGATCGTCCTTACTTCCTTTGCCCTATTCCTAATCTTAACCTCAGGCTTTGTCTTGGGAATCTTCAGTAAATATCAAGAAACTCCCATTGTCAAGGCTAACAATCGGGACCTCTCCTATGTCCTCCTGGTCTCCCTGCTGCTTTCTTTCTTCACCTCCTTCCTCTTCATTGGCCGGCAAAGGAGAGCCACCTGTCTTCTTCGACAAACCGTCTTCAGCATCATCTTTTCAGTTGCTGTCTCTTCTGTCTTGGCCAAAACAATCACGGTGGTGCTCGCCTTCCTAGCTACAAAGCCAGGGAACCGAGCGAGGAGATGGCTGGGGAAAGGCTTGGCCAATTCCATCATCCTTTCCTGTTCCAGCATCCAGGTCATCCTTTGTTCCATCTGGTTAGGAGCCTTTCCCCCATTCCCTGATTCTGACATGCATTCACAGCCTGGAGAGATCATTCTGCAGTGCAACGAAGGCTCCGCTCTCATGTTTTACATTGCTCTCACCTACATGGGTTTGCTAGCTGCCGTCTGCTTCACAGTGGCTTTCTTGGCTAGGAACCTGCCTGGGGCCTTCAACGAAGCCAAGCTGATCACCTTTAGCATGCTGGTCTTCTGCAGCGTTTGGGTGTCCTTTGTGCCCACCTACCTGAGCACCAAGGGCAAGTACACGGTGGCCGTGCAGGTCTTCTCCATCTTCGCTTCCAGCGCTGGCCTGCTGTGCTGCATCTTCATCCCCAAGTGCTACATCATTGTGCTTAGACCAGAACTGAATACAAAGGACCAACTGATACTTAAAAGTGAAATAGGAAAGTGATTCTCATGAAACTTCCTGGCAGTATAATTCTCACCCAGTGTTTTAGATCATTAATTATTTTACGGGAATAGACTGTTTCTCAAGGTCTTCTCTAAGGGATCTCATTGTGCTAAAGCCTAATTTCCAACTCTTTATGAATCAATGTCTTGTAGAAAACAATGCTGCAATATATAAGCTGTGTTTTAGTATGAGCTAAAAGGAAATTCTCTATCCTATCATTATGCATGGTACTTTTTACTAAACGGGCCTAGCAAACTGAACCTAGTTTCCTCTGGTGTTATAATCATATGTGGGAATGACTTTGGGAGACAAGGGGGAAGAGATGCTGCCTAGGGAACAATCAGATAAAGTGGGGAGAAGCCCGAAGCTGCATAACGGACATAGAAAGAAACCCAGAAAGGATCCTCCCTAACTTATCCGGCTGTAAAAACAGACAGTGGGACATTTGTACTTTCTGACTTGCAAGATTCTGTTAATGTGACCTTATAATAAAGTAGAATTAGCTCATCTTTTTTTTTTTTTAATGTTTTTTTTATTTTTACAACAAACACAAAACAAACATGAACAA